TTCGTCTCTTTCACCGTTGAAATGTCCGCTCTTTCATTTGCAACGTTAAGCTATTGGATATCACTATACACTTTTTTTAGAGAATAAGATAGTTCCTTCGCAGTTTTAAATGTTCAATTGAGTATTTCGGATAACATATAGAACAATAGTTTTCGCGATAATTAATGAATTTTAACAAACAATTTTAATTAAAAATTATATTTGTTATCTGGTCACAGAAGATAATTAAACATTGCTCGATCCGTGAATATAATATTCTTGTCGCGATAGAAAATTAAGTACAGACCACAATACCTTTAGTAACAACAATATTAGGACTTTGCATCGGCGAACTTCCGGCGCGATTGCAAGGAGAGCTAGAATAACAGTACCTTATTTAGATAACCAGTCGTGTTCCTTCAGTAGCAGTCTTTCAATTTTGCTACGTACCTCGCTTTCCGTCGCATTCCGTGACCGTGTACTTAGTATATACTAGAATAGATCCGGAAATTCTCGAAGAATACATTACTCGAGAGAGAGAGAGAGAGAGAGAGAGAGAGAGAGCAGCGAAATATAATACTCTTTCCATTTTTCGCTGGTTACCGCATTTTGTCCTTATATTCTTTTGTCTTCATATTTCAATGTTCTCTAAATGTGTAATATTGTAAAAAGAGAACTTATTTCTCGGTATTTTATAATTACGGGATTACTGTCTGCAAGTTTTGCAATTATCTTTCGAATTACAAAAGACAGAAAGAGTAAGAGAGCAAAATGATATGACAAACACAATCAAATGAAATACAGAATCAAACGTAATCTGTACATCAACGTCATCACTTCTAATGTCGATATAATCCTGCGATCTTGTAATGATGTATATGTATATACACCATTACAAGATCGCATATATTATGGACGACAGCGATCGTCCATTTGTACTAGCTGTGTTTCATTTCCTTCGAATTTAATCGACATCTTTGTTTCTGACACGTGGACCATGAGCTTCATGAAACGCAACAGCTCTCTCACAGTTCCGCATAATGTTAATTTTTCGTTTCTTTCTTCGTGTTCACTTATGGACCCTCGATGCTTTAGAAACCGTTGTACCGCGAAGCGAGTTGGATGATGGTGAGTTGAGTTGGCCGTGGTGTAACACAGTCGGCTTCACTGATTGCCAATATAGCGAAGTGCATAGAACACCGCACACCACACTCTGTCGTTCTATATATATATATCCATCCACGGGATGGTCGCGGACCTACAATGTGCCACGGGCGTTAATTTCCTCGTGAAACGTATTGCGTCCCTGTGATTCAATTGTTCCACCCTACGGCGTGCTATACGCTGCGATGGCTCAGCTCTCGGAACTCTCATAATGATGTGGTATTTCTCCACTGACCTCATGTTCATGTTTTGCGAGACGTCAAGCGGCGATTTTAGATCCTAGAAGTCATATATTATGTCTATATCTTGAAGTTCTTTTGAGATCAGGTCTTTGATATCTGACAACAAGTAAAGTACTTTTGCATAAATCTTTAGTGATTAGGAAAGCATTAGTGATTTGGCTTCTTTTTCTCTATAATTTTTAGAAACTTTAAGCAATTTTAGATTTTAGAAGTATATATTTTGTCCAAATCTGGGCGCATTTTTGCGTCAGTCTTCTACTTGAAGCCTATGTTTGAGATCAAGTTCAGTCTTTGATACCTGATAATAAATAAAGTATTTCTGGTTGGCAAGCCTAGACCTTTAGTGGTTAGCAAAAATTAAACCATTAAACCATTAAATCATTGAACTATTAAATTATTGAAGAAGAAAAAGATACTAGAAGTCCCCAATCTGACTTCTTGGCGCCTATAGCTTTTGGAGATGACTACATATATGTCGTACAACTAATTTGTCAAAAAAAAGGGCAAACGTAGTCGACGTCTCCGCAATTTTCGTGATCGAATATTGCGTGAAGCTAAACTCGCGCCGTGAGATGCATACGAGAGATCGAAACTGCCAATTTTCCTGCTGCAAATTTACAGACTTCATGATATCAACAGCAAATACGTTTCAGCTAGGACAAATATTATGACAGCGACATAGATTAAACTTTAGGCCTCGAGAGAAGGGGGATAGTAACATATAGGGCTCCGGGCGCCCAGTTGCCATACCAGTGTTCCAATCCTCTCGCGTTTCCATGCCCTTTGCCTTCGTCATCGCGCCAAGCGGCGCGGGTGATTGTTTCTCTCGCAGCGGGGAAACAAATCCGCGCGCGTGATGACAACGTGATGCATCCCGCTCTCTGCTGCACTCACTAACACAGGACTTCTACCAACGGTATACCGCGATACAACAAAAGCGAGTGTTGCTGTTTGTCGTTTTCGCGTCGCGTGTTTACGCACTGGCGCACTGTAATGAATTCGAGATGGTCTTCCAACACTCTCTCTTTGGGTTTTGTCATACGCTCTATGCTCTTCTCTACGTATTCAATTAGTTGCGGCATACCATATATACATGTATATACGTTTGATCTGCATGCTACATAAGTTTGTAGCGCGTGCGCACTATGGTGTATTGAGATCATGATATACCATGTCATTCAATGCAGAGTTGCATTATCGCCCTGCGATCCTTTCGTGAACTCGACAGCTTTCGTCGCAACACGAAAAGCTACACAAATATCGCCTTCAAATTCCGCGGTATAAAGTGCACGCTCTCGAGTTTACGATGTTTCATATATAATAATTGAACGAAACAATATGATACATTTTTATAATAAAAACAAGTAATGCGGAAAAAATTCCGCGAAACAATCCTCTCAAAAAATGAAAATACGGATACCGATTGGGTCCAAATTTTAATAGAAGCTGTTGTCGCTTAAAAACGTCCATATGCTGCAAACCAGAACTCGCTAGGATCCTCCTGAGTCGAGAATGAGCGATTTTAAAAATACGAAGAAATTATGAAAAGCATAAAAGGGGATTAAAAATTACGTTGTGGAAAATGAAACGAAAAGGAATTCTATCGAATTCGTAATTGTGATAATTAATGCATTATGATAGACATTTCTGTCAAAAAGTCAGTTTTCTATGTAATTAATTTTTACATGCGCGCGGGAGAAAAGAAGTTAATAATTTTAAAAGCAATTTGCGGGGAGCAGGTCAAAGCAAAACGATTAAAAAAAGAAAGAGAAAAATACAACGCAACGGAAAGCGCGGAAGTGGAAGCGCACCGGATGCGCTTTTTGCTGTCTGTGACGGGAGCTACTGCTAACTCGTTCGCGAGCTAATATTTCGTAGCATCGATTATTCAGAGGTCTACATCACTTCGTGGAAATGTTTCATTTCGATAGTTCCGGGTGTCCATTTACCACAAGGGGTTGCTAACCCCCACGTGATTTGATACAAACAATGATCGATACGAACGACCGAAACTCGGTCTCCGCGCGCGAACTTAATCGTATAAGAGATCTTGAAAACTTTTTGCGGCGCAAGTATATCGTGACATGAAAGTATAGTAGTAATATACTAATATTTTTTATACGACAACACGGACAAATTTTTAACGTAAATTATCCGTTTTATTGAATCAGGCGTAATATTTGAGGCAGTTAAATTATTTTATTTAATCAATAAAAATACAGAAATTTTGACGTTTTTTATATACAGAATGTAGGCCATTTTAATGTTCTACTCCTAAATTGCTTTTTTCCTAAGCCTTTTACATAAAAATATTTTGTAACAAAATTATAAAAGATTTCGAAAGAAAAAGAAGTTGACGCTACTAACTTTTTCTAGTGGTCATTTAAAGATCATTTATTATATGTTTTTTTAAATGGAACTACATTAATTTTTTGGTATAAATCGATTCTTCGCAATATTTGTTATAAAATAAATTATATAGGTAAGATAGTCAAAAAAAGAATAATTTACGAAGTATTTCATAATTTATGTAAAATTATGTTAAACTAAAGTATAAAATATTTCGTGAACTATTCTCTTTTTGGTCATCTTATCCTTCTAACTTTTTATAATAAATATTGCAAGGAATCGATTTATATAAAAATCAATTAATTTCATGAAAAAAATTACTTAAATGATTTTGCAAATTGCTCTTTAGGAAAAAATTAGTACCAACAAAATCTTTTACAACTTATTTTACGAAATATTTTTTTATAAAAAACTTAAGGGGTAACATCTAGTCCGAAGGCAAAAATCATAGGCTGTCTTTGTGAATTTTTGTAACGTTGCTACTGAATCGATCAATGTGAAATTTTCAGGGCTGAATATACTTGTTCTGGGGTGCAAAAATATATTTTTTATTTTCAGTTTTATTACGAAATGGCGGCTCAGCAGCGCGCGGAAAGAGAGTCGAATTTTTGTGAGGCGTCCCACGGCTAGCAGCAGAAGTCCCCAACGAATGTATCTGGAACAATGAAAAAAAATGTTTTCATAATCTATACGAGTATAGCTAATGAAGTACACATGGATATTACGAAATATTGATTTTTGCAAATTTGGCAGCATTGTGAACAAAAAAAAAACGATTTTTCGAGAGTAAAAACTCGGCCTGTATTTGTTTATAAAAATCGTAATTGTTTATCGATCCTAAAAATCGTGTGTACTTCACTAGCTATACTCGTATAGATTATGAAAACATTTTTTTCATTGTTCCAGATACATTCGTTGGGGACTTCTACTGCGGGACGCCTCACAAAAATTCGACTCTCTTTCCGCGCGCTGCTGAGCCGCCATTTTGTAATAAAACTGAAAATAAAAAATATATTTTTGCACTCCAGGACAAGTATATTCAACCCTGAAAATTTCACATTGATCGATTTAGTAGCAACGTCACAAAAAATTCACAAAACAGCCTATGATTTTTGCCTTCGGACTAGATGTTACCCCTTAAGAAAAGAGATATTTGAAGTAAGATATTAAAATAATTGGGTGGTCCATCCTATATATTCTTATTTAATAATTACGCGTAAAATGTTGCACGGCATTTAACCGGATCAATTATTTTGCTTTTTACAGTTAACTTTCGGCAATTATATCGCTGTGGATGAAGCTGTTAGGTACACACCCCATCCGACTGACCCCAACAAGACGTTGCTCACGCAAGAAGCGGTAGTCACCGTCCGAGGGGTACCACTAACCAACTACATGGAAGATCTTTTAGCATCGAAAATTTCTTTCAATGCGAGCAAAGTAAGTAATCTCCTTCTTCTCAAAAATATTCAACTTAGAATTGAATTGATATTAATGCAAAAATTAGCTTCTGTTACATGAACCATTTTATTTGCAATTCCGACAGTATCAGTAGTGACATTTTTAATTTTTAATAAACTAAAATACTTACACAGTAAGATGCATTATATTAAAATGCGTCATAAAAATGTTTCATAAAACGGTTATCCGTTCACGTGCTTCGTAAAAGTTTGTGAATGACAGTCCGTCACGCGTTTTCGGATTTTTGCGTAATCTTCTCTTCTTACGTTTGAGGGTCGACAAGGGTTGGAATGGGTGATCAACAAACTCGAATCCGAGATGAAGGAGTTCGCCTGAAAGGCCCGGCCGCCGTCGCGAAACTTCTGAACTGCCGCTATCAGCACAACATGAGCGCCGGCGTCGGTGGGGAGCGGCAACTTCTAGATCGAACGATTACGCGGATCAGAAGAACATTAACGTCCCGGGTTTCGTCAGAAACGAGCAGATGATTCGCCGCGGGCACCACGTAGATCGCCTAATTGAATTTTGCGGAACTTGTTACTAACCGGTTGGGAACGAACGTTCCCTTTGAAGGGCGCAATTGCCTCCGCACAACCGTACTCTTGGGTCCAGGCCTGCAAGGATCTGTCGAACGAACACGGGGCGAGATAACACTGACTGATATAGAGAAATATATTTTAAATGCGTTTAACTTTTAAACGAGGAGGTACAACGATTGGTTTGGCAATTGAATCGTAACAATCCTGAGATTTCAATCTGTATTCATATATACCTCTACGTCGACTGATGATGAGAGAGTCAGTCATACCACAAATCTACCGCCACTCTTAGCCAATTCAACCACGACAATTCAACGTTTCATGGACGTTCTCGACCGTGTAAAAGGGAATTAGGAAAAAGAAATGCATGTCGATATGTGTATATGTAATTTATAATTTAATTTAATCGTAGCAAAAGTTTTATAATAAGTATTAGACATGATTTTGCTTATATGCATTTGTATAAATTGTTTTCGTTTACTACCCTTCCATACTCTTGCGAAGTCTTATATCATTATTTGTATTTTTTTTTTTATTAAATATCGATTATATCACGCAAATTATTTTTACTCAGTAATCTAATTTGCACGAAGAGTGCGTCCTATGAATCTATCGCAAGCTTGACACATGAACGGTCCTCCATGGACTGGCCGAAAACGAACAATGCAGACACAGACCTTTGCGAAACTATGTTCTCCGGAACTATGTTCGCCAGATTCTCATTCCTTCTCTCAACGAGAAGGCAAAGCTCTTTGATCGCAGCGACGAGGCAACTTACAACGCGTTCCGAAATCACTGTGTGGTCTCTTTGATGCGTCTATCAGCGTATTCGAAATTATACCGTTGTTGACCGAATAATTTCGCGGTTTTTCTTTCCGTGTCAACTTGCGTTTTCGCTGACTTTTTTTTTAAATAATTGATGTTTTGTTCTTTCGGTCGATCTAAATTCATTGGTCTTTCTTTTTTCAACTGAAAGAGTACACTGTTGGTTACAAAAGAAGCATCAAACAAAATGTATCTTTTGTATAAAAAAGTTGAATAGAAAGAGAGAGAGAAGGGGATGAATTCACTTTACGCGACCGGGTGCTTTAATTTAGAAAAGTCGACATGCACGTCGAATGCGGACGTTGATTCAACCCACAAGTTCGATGGTTCGATACGAAAACTGAGCAGACATCGAGCAGCGCGTTGCGTGGGGCGCAAGTACAAAGGATACCGCTTGTCCCTTTGTGATTGGAGGCTGTCAATATTTGTCTGCATCGGATAACAGAGAGGTCAGCAATGAAACGGTAACATCATCAATTATCTCTTACATACCGAGCCGCGCGTTAAACTTGTTCTCTTCTATCGTTAGCCCTCGCTTCTGATTACGATCACTCGCGATTCATCTCATCTGGCGATTGACTGAAGTATCGCGCGAAATCGTTCCCGATGAAAATTGTCTCTCTCTCTCGACGATCGAAAGCAATAATGACTTCGGTCGAAATTCCGCTCGGTCGGAAATTGCTGGGGATATAACGCCTGTTCGATCCTACAAATCGATCTCCCGCACATACGTTGTGTTGTACCTACTCTCTACACAAGTGAAAGTACTCGGTAGTCCGCGCGAATACCCTCGAAAGGTAGTTAGGGTGGAATGAACAACTACCTCGAAGAGAAAATGGGATATTTTGTGGAGGCTATACCTATATATTGCGAGAATTGGATTTTGATTAATGTCAAGGTTTTTTACCTAGAGACTAGAAAGGTATTAATAAATTAATTTTTTTGTATAAATTCTATTTGAATTATTTAGTTTCTCACTTTTAGATATATTGGTTATTTTTATTTTTAGATATATAAATTCGTTTATTATTTATTATTATATTATATATATATATTACATAATTTAATATATTATTTAAAGTAGAGAGATTTTAAAAATTTTACACAATGTAATATAAAAAAAAAAAAATACATTTTGTTTCGCGAATTAGATTTTGGCTTTTAGTGGAATTTGCTATTTTTAATGTTGCAACTTATATAACTCGCCGAACAAAATATGTAATAGCCTCAACTAACTAAAACTAAATATTCGATACTTACTGATTTATAGTCAATTAAACAACTAACAAAGTCCTAATTTTTCAAATTAGCTGATTTTGAGATTTAATTTTATATAGGATTTTCAAAAATCCCTAATTAATTATATAAAATTGAATCTTAGTGAGATCAGCTGGTTTTCTCATATATTGTAGCTTATGATCTGCTCAACAAAAAATGTAATAGGCTCAAAGCTAAATAATAGATATAGTTACTGATTTATCAGCCAGTCAAACGCGAAAAACTCGAGCTCTACGAGTTGTAGTAGCTTCATAAGTTTCAACGTAGAAAACAACGTGAAGAAAACAGCCAATTCCACCGAAAGTCAAAATCCTATGTATTTGGTGCAGGATCCTTTCCAATTTATCTGCGGCATCGACCAATTCCCTACGGCCAATAACCGCGAAGGTACGAATAATTCTGAGAAAGTACGTATACATACGTGTATTACACATTTACCCTGGTATCGCCTTATCCATATTTAGATTACAATGCTTTACATTAGAGGAGATACGGGAGAGGGCAAAATGGCAATATACTCGTGGGGAAAGCAAAAGGTTGCTCTCGTGCGCGGTTTTCGGAAAATCGGAAGGCATGGATCTCGCTGCTTGCTTGCCTTGGAAACTCGTGATTCCGCAATGAAATTGCAGCGCGGCGGAGAAGATCTGCGAAGGGATACCGAATGTCGTCTCCGGCGTATGTATCCCCGTGGCTCGTAAAAAGGATTCGCTTCTCGCAGTCGAGAATCCCGCGTCTCTTCTCATCGCCTCTTCTCCCGCGAGAGAGGGTGAGATTCGAAGAATCGTCGAAGGGGCTCATGGTTTACACATCGTGACGGCGCTCTCGTCAAAACCCGTAAAAGCTCTCGGGGACGATCGACTTTGAGAGCCGGCAAACGGTCAAGGAGATCCTTCTCGCCGTTGCCGATTCACGACCTCTCGTGAAAAGCTATCCTTCCCCTTCTTATTTTCCTCGTCTCGATGGCCTCGAGGGGCCGCAAAACGGCGTCGATTTTCTTTCAAATAATAAATTCGACTGGTCCCCTCTATATCCACCAGCACTGACTGGTGGTCAAGTACCAGTTCCGGGTAAAGTTCTAACGGCTGCTTTATTTCCATCGGACGTTTTTAAAAAGTTTCGAGAACACAGTTTCGCGTGCTTCGACCAGTCAGGGGCGGAATCAGGGTCGACGAGAGAAGAAAAAGTTTCCCGACACCGCGTACATACAGCAAATAAAACACGTTTTAATATTTTATTCTGAAAGTTATTAGCAAAAAAAAAAAATACACGAAGAGCCCTGTATTTTTAACAGCGAGAAATCTCCGGAACCGGCATTTGATATTTAAAATTTCGTTATTTTTGTGGTATTTTTTAAAATTAATTTCAGGAAGAGGATCGTGATCGCGAATTTTATAATACGGAATTCTTCTTTCTTCTCTCCGCGAGATTATCTTCCGGTATTGCCTGTCAAGCTCTTATTTCACTTGCATTGTAATGGATAAAGAGAATTAGCCGCAAACTAGCACCCGATGTTTCGCATCTCGCAAACTCGGGTGTATTTCTAAACCCCCTCAACTTCGTCAATACATCCCGTTTTATCCTTTCTGTGAAAGAACTTTTAATGAGTTCGCGTACACTGTTTAAAGATTTAAAGTTTTGCGAGCTTCAAAGAGATCCTGCCATGCTTCTCTAAAGTATTACAGACGGGTCGGAGCATTATTATGACGTACAGAACGTCTGCGAGATATTACATCGTAAAAATTGCCTCTGTATATTAGTTCTTCCGCGCTTGCCTGGTATCCTATCAAAAATTCAAAGAAAAATACGCACTAAATGGAAGAAGAAAGAAAAAGGGAAGCCTTCGAATATCTAATAAGATTACGCGAATCTTTTTTTTTAATATCGAAACATTCTTTTAATCAGACATAATTTCGATATTTATTGGATATTTATGGCTTCTTTTATAATTTATATTTAGTGCAACAAAAGTTTTTAACTTTGCAAAAAAAAGAATAAGATTTCAAGTATGTATAACATTAGTTTACAGTCAAAAATTATTTTAAAGCAGACAAAGTGTTTTTTATAGATTTTTCGGTGCTCTAAAAAAGATGCGGTAAACCAAATTTCACCACAACGTCAAATTTACAAAATAATTGAGAAATAATTGTGATATTTAAGATTTTTTGTAAAAAAAGTTAACGTTATATATATATATATATATATATATATATATATATATATATCTCTGGAAAGTGATCAAATGTCATGAATGTATTTTTTTATTTCAGTATCTACTAAATTTTGTTTTCAGCATCCAAAGTTTGCAAGAAACACCTTTGTCTGGCTTAAATAATGAAAAAAAAAATTTTTTCTAAACTAGTGTAATCGAATCGAAAATGATGCCGACATAAAAAAAGATCATTATTTGGAAAGCGTTGTACAACCGTTAAAATTGTGTATCCCTGATTTTACGTTTCCGGCGTTTAAGTCTCCTCACCGTGAACCTAGAAGAATAATATGGCGGTGCGATTGTAAGCAATTAGCATAATTAACATCGGCGAACGGCGGCCGCGAAAAGAAAAGTTTAGTTAAGTAATATATGTAATTTCTCTGGGCACTATAGTTAGGTAGTTGCGGTAAAAAGAGTCGATCGCACTTTGAAATTGACCAATGTCAACGTTGCGTCGCGGTTACATGCGAGAGTACATAAGTGTTCACTTCGTAAAGATACATGTAGGTAATAACGCGAGGTCGCGTCGCGGTGCATACGCTCGCCCCTATTAGCATACAATTATCTTTATGCTTCTTTTATGATTCATATTTAGTGCCAGTTCATATAGTTCGTCGCCACACCACCATCCCACCCTTCGACTTTTACGATCGTACTTGTTTCGAATTTTAACGTGTACTTCGTGCTCTCGCCCCTGTTATCGGGCCTATCGGACATCTCGCCTGCATTTTTTATTAAAACGTGTCTCGGAAAAATAAAAAAAAATATTTTACCAAGAACACGCGCTACACGAAAAAAATTCATCATCATACACACGTGCGAACTGAGTCGACTGAGATGTGATATGTGTCTCGATTATATTTGCTTCGTCGCGCGAAAGTATCAATGTGTAATTAGCAAGTCGTGGGATTAAACAAACGACGACGATAAGATCATTAATCATATATTGTATTCCACAACTTTTTATAATATGTAAAATGTTATAAATGCAATGTGTAATATATATATATATATATATATATATATATATGAGAAAAGAATTTTCGAAAAATAATAAGATGAAATATTTTATTGTGTTTTTGATATAAATGATGTGTAATATTTTCTTACACTTCCCTTTTACCAGAATAATTTAATAATACGAT